CTACATATACAGATTCTAAACTGGCAATTTCAGCTCACAAAAATATCTCGTTAAAAAATGATGAAAATGGAGCATCAGTTCGTTGTTTTAGAATTTCTGAATGTAATATTCGAAATCAGGAGCTCGCGTTGTACTAGTCCTGTTAATATTTAACGATTCGGATAAAGTCGACGAAAACTCTAGTACATTCTCGAAAGAATTACTCTATAAGCTAGCCTTACATAAAGGAAAAAATTTCATCTACAAAAAGAACTAGCTACGAAGTAGAGCAGCACCATAAGAAACTAGTAGAATACTAGCACTATTATGTTGTAACTGGTGCAAATGTTAAGTGTGAACTTTGTCTACTTTTTGTTGATGATTGTGAATATTGTTGCAAAATTGTATTTATTTTATCTTGTTGAATTTTTAAGTCGTTCATATGTCGATTAAATTCATTATATTTTTCGCTGATTTTACTATGAAACGTTTGAATCCAATCGATCTGATTTATGATTGAGGCTCCTGTTCCGATGGAGGTAGTTGCATCTTTATTTGTATCATTCAGCATTAAGACGTCTGTTCCACCTACTTGACTTTTTGTACCTTTATTTGTATTAATGAGACCATAGGCGTCTAAAAGTAAATATTGTTTATCGTAATTTGTTGTGGTTTGAATACGTAAAAATTTTGATAAGAATTTTTGCAGTTTCGATTTGTGATAGGTTACCGTACGAGAACGACGGATAGTTCTGAAAAAAGAATTTCTTGGTAGTTGTCGTTCAACATCTAAAGTTAATTTTACACGCATAGCTAAACGTTTGAGTAGTGCTGAGCGCATAACACTCGATATATCATCAACGGCTAAACCAATTAATAAATTCATAATGATAACTGACATCACAATAATGAATATAATAAAAAATAAATATGTAATTGCAAAATAGTTTGGTTCTTCACTGTGAAATATACCTGAAAAACAAGAATAATATGTCGCTATATGAGTTTATGAATCTGTGCAGGAACTCAACGAAGTTCGAAATGAAACGATAGAATGTAATCATTTAGAGTCTAACCTTCATATTCAAGTTCGCCGACCATCATCACACACGTTTTTAATAAAGAGTCACCGAAACGTTGAAATGGATTATGATTTTGTAATAACATGTGAAATGCTAATGCAAAACCAATAACAAACAAGAAAAATACTAGAAAAAATCTTGAGAAGGTTCTTAATATATCAGTCAACATCACCACAAATATTCCAAAACGTGGAAATTTTTGAATAAATAATACAAGGGAAAACCAAGACAAAAATACAGCCAGTGAACCTAAAATAAATATTATTCAAAAATCGACTAGTTCGATTTATAAAATGGTTATAGTAATTATTACCTAATTGCCATTGTGTAGAACATCTATAACCAATTTCTCTTGAACATGAATTAAAATCAATTGTGAACAGAATAGCTAAAACGAATGCACTTAGTTCCACAAGATTTTCAAAATTAATATAATCAAGTTGTTCTGATATCATTTGAAATATTTCTTTAATTATCTGTAATGAAGCTAATACAATAACCGTCCATTGAACGATATGAATTGCCAAAATACGTGAACGACGTTCATTAATTTCTATTGTACGATTTTCTATAATAGACATACATATATTTTTACATGATAATTGTTTCATTTGATCATGAGTAACACCAAAATGATATGGTGCAATAGATAAAAATACATAGGATGTAAGGATACCAACAAATATTAAATAAAATAAAAAATTTAAATAATAAACATATCCAGCATATAATTTCCATTTATAATCAAGTAATGAATGAACAATTGGATGATCGAGTAAACGTTCACGATTTTTTTCAACCATTAACATGAGTGGATGATTTTGTTGTAATTTTTTACGATCAATTATTTGACTATAAACCCATGGATATAATCGACCATCAGGCTCATAGATATCTTCTCCTAAAAACATTAAATACTTAAAATTTAGAATTAATGTTCAATATTATGTTTACTATTCTCTGTTTCTTTTTCCCATTGATTAAATTGATCATCCAAAAATTCATAAGTATATTCTAATTTATATTTCTTGGTTTGTTGTGTTGCATCGTCTTGATGAGATAATTGTAGTATATTGATATGATTTTTTTCCGAATCTTTTGTTTGTTTTTGCTCTATAGGGGTAGTTTTACAACAATTGTTTAGTACAATCAATGCAACATCAGGCATTTTTCTAATTAATTTTCTCAACGGTGTATCCATTCGCTGTAATTTTGGATCATATTTGGCATTTCTCATTATTAAACACCAATCTGTAATAGAAAAACAATGTCTTATTAGATAAAATATAACTATCTTTTCTATTTTATAATTATTGCGTCTTCTCTCTCATTTTTTGTTTTGTTTTTTCCATTGCATTCATTTTCTTTTCTTTTTGATTACTTTCTTCTGTATTTAGTTAAAAGAGTTATTTATTTCATTTGGCGGACACCCCAATAATAATGGAGCTCTTGCTCTCTTCCTCTGAGACATTAGCTCTCTTTTGATGTGCGTTCAATTCAATAAATATGAAAAATAAATATAGTTTAAAACAAAAAAAATATATATATAACTGTCTATATATCAGTTACCTTCATGAGAAACCAGTGTTTCAGCTGCTAAATATTGATTATTCAAAATAGCTAAATCAAGACAATTATCACCATCCGACGTACATTTATCAATTTTAGCACCGTTATTTAATAATAATTTAATTATTTCACTATGACCATTTTTTGCTGCTAAATGTAGTGGTGTTTGCTGATTTTTGTCAACAGGATCAACCTAAACACAAAACCATTATCTTAATATTACATGTTTAAAACTAATCTTACATACCAGACTTCGATTTTCTAATAGAACTTTGACACTTGTATAATGACCACGTTCACTTGCACAATGTATTGGCATCCACGATATCATATTTCTTGCTTGAATATCAACATTTTGTTCAAGTAATAATTTGATTATTGCTGAATGTCCTTCTATAAACATAGAAGATAAAACTTTATGAAATTATAAAAATTTATTTAATTTATCTATCATACCTGCACATGCAATGTGTAATGCTAGAATTGAAAGAGAAATAATACTATTAATATATATTTAATGTAAATGTATAATTATTGTCTACCTGTATTTGATGTATCATCTCGTTCTTCCATAATATTTAATTTATCTCTCAATGTTTTATAATTTGCATTAACATAATCAATAATTAATTTAACAACTTCTACACGACATTTTTTAGCACATAACATTAATGGAGTTTGTTCTTCATCCGTTTTCATTGTTAATTTACCACCATTTTCTAATAATACATGAACAATTTCAACATTTCCACATTCAGCAGCAATATGAATCGGAGCCTTATTATATCTATCCATTTCATTGATCGATATTGTTAAATAATCTTTTGTTGATGTTGTTTGAGTTTGAGCGAAATTTATTAGTTCTTGAACAGCTTCCAAATGATTTGCCATTGATGCTAACCATAGTGCACTTCGTTCACGTTTATCACGATGAGAAAACATATCAGCACCATATTGTAATAGCAAATGAATACACCATGCATGACCACGTTCCGAGGCTAATAACAACGGTGTAAGGCCAGTACGATTTGTTTGATTAATAAAACTCGAAAAATTATCTTTCTAAAAAAGAAAGAGTAAGAATGCGTAGAATTTGTAAAAAATATTAAAAAAAACTTACGGGAATGGATAAAACATAATCGAGGATATTTTCTTTATTATGAAACGCTGCTTTATGTAATACATTCTCTGATTCTATATCAACAGCATATAAATCTGCTCCATATTCAACTAATCTTCTCAATATTTCAATACTACCCGTTCGAGCAGCGATGTGCACAGCCGACTGTCCATCATTTCGCGTTGCAGAATGATCGCAACCTTTAGCTAGTAATAGATCGATGAGTTTAAGATTCGCTGATGATACAGCCAAATGTAATATCGTGTTTCCTTCGCCATCTTTAGCAGTAATGACTTCTTCTAATTTATCATGATCAGAAAATTCATCAAAATACATCATCATCAAGTTAAGATGACCGCCACGACAGGCATATGCCAATGGAATGGCTTCTGTATCATCTTTACAAACTGGATTAGCATCATGTTCCAACAGTAGCCTGATAAAAATGAAAATAAAATAATTTTGAAGAACATTCGAGAATAATTAATTTTCTAATTACCTTGCTGATTCTATATGACCGTAAAAACATGCTCTATGCAACGGTGTCATCATTGAACTGTCTAATGCCTATTTCAATACTATAGTAATAATTACCAATATTAAATTAAGTTAAGGATACTCTACTTCAATATCTGCATAATTTTCAAGTAACAATTCAGCACAACGACGATTATTGCTCTCACAAGCATAATGCAGCGGTGTTGAATAACAATCATCACGTGTGTTAACATTAGCACCTTTTTGAATTAAATATGGAATTACTTTATCGTACGAATCATTCTAAAGACGAAAGTGGACATGATTCAAAACCTGACCGTTGGATAAATCTGTCTATGTTTAATTACTTGATTGTCTTTCTCAAATTTAAATCGAGAGGCCCAGTGTAAGGGGGTTGCACCATTTTCTCCATGACTGTTGACATCTAGAAATAAATTCCTCATAAAAATAAGTTGATTAAATTTATTGCTAACCATCTTTAAAGATGATCATTAACGAAAAAAATTATAGAGCAAAAATGACTAAAATCTTTAAAAATAGCTAAAATCGATGCTAAACTAGTTCTATTAACTATAAATGTATATCCATTGTCTGAAGGTGCATGTGATGCAGAGGCAAAAATTATTGATCATTTCTTTCACTTGTTGTCCACTATATGAACAGCATCGCAAGATTCTCTCTAATATTATATCTACAAAAATCTTATTGTTGAACGATGTGAATATTAATCCAGATGCATCGGTAACGATACTTGATGACGTTAACCTGTTTATTGATCAGACAAAACAATTTCAATAATGTCAGTTTTATTGTTCAACTTTTTTTAACCCTACTGAACAACTGCTTCTTTCTCTGTCTTCTATATTGTTTTCTCTATTTCAAAGAATATTTTAATCACATCTTCTAACACTAAATATCCTATATAATTCTTTTCTAGCTCTCAAAAAACTCATTTTTTATTTACGATAATGTAATTGTTAACTTGCACTACTAATGAGTGATTAATCACTCGATGGTGCGACACTTCGCTTTCTATAATTAAGTTTAGATCAACTAAATTTATGGATTTTGATTAAAAATGGACCTTATTATTCGAGCTATGCGTACCAGCTTGACAATCTTCGATTAAATATTTGCATACATTAAAATGATAATATCTTGCTGCATAATGCAGTGCCGTTAATTTTGCTTCATCTTGTTCATTGAAAAATAATTTACGATTAGCATAGTTATTTTCCTGTAATAATTTCAATTGATCAATATGTCCATCTCTAGCAGCCTAGAAAACAAAAATGTTTAAATATATATTCTAATGATGAAATTAGTTATTACTTGAAATAGATCGCATCTGGCATAAGTTGATACTTGTCTGTTTAATAATCTTGTTCCAATATTCTTTTGTCGAGCATCTTTTTTCATACGTAAACGATGTCGTTTCTTTACTTGATTATCATTGAGTTCATAATTATCCGCTGTAGTTTCTTGTGTTGAAATCAGCTGATATTCATTGTTTAATGGGGAATGGATATGAAGTGAATCAGTTACACTCTGAATATCACTCTTACCAACAATTTCTCGTCTTGTCTTTGATTTTGACATTTTGCATGACTAACAAAAGATATTGTTGACAGACAACATAGTACTCTGATCAAAAAAAAGACCGCTCAACTAATAAAATTAAATAGTATTGATCAAATAGTCTCTTCTTTATTTCAGTATATACATAGTTTTAGATGAAATGACTCAAAACGACGTTTTTTGGTTTATTCATGTAGTTTGAAATGCTACCTATTATTTTATCTATTCTTGAACAATGTTCTTTTATCAGCACATAAACGCGTACCTAATTCGTGCAAGGTTATATTTCCTTTTGCTGAATCTTAAGGCTCAAAATCTAAAATACGTCACAAACTTTCACCGTCTCTCTCTCTATATCTTTCGTTACTGATTGTAAAGAAAGAGAATAATAATACAATAACTCATATTGATTGTTGCATGTATGCGTATATACAATATACAAACAGATTTTTAATGCTAACTTTTTAACTTTTATACGTAGACTACTTACACGAAATATACGTGTTCATATCGTTAATTTATTTCTTGACCGGTTCATATTATACTCTATTCTCAAACAGATTTGCTCCTTACTCTCTCTCACTTTTGGTTTTTTCACATGCGTTTCATTTTCGTTCTTCAGTCTTGTAGTTACACTCAACAGAAAGAAAAGCAAAATGTTATGATATCACGGTACAGTTTGCAAATTCAAGTTTGAAAAAATACCCTCATTATTGCTCTCTTTCAAAAGAAAAACTTCTTAATATTAGAACGTTCTTTATAAAAAGAAGAAAAGAGAGAACAAGGGGGAAGATAAGACCACAAAAAAATGAGCAAATAGATGAGGTCTTTTCATTTGGATTGCGAAGAACGACCATTTGTGAGTCTTTCTGTTTTTTCCTTCTGTTTTGCTAAATATTATATATGTTTCTGGAGTATATATGCAGACAAGTCTCAGGTGTCAAGTCACATAATTCAATAGGTATTGAACACACAAAAACATATTCTTGTTATATGAGATACACTTATATACGATAAATATCGATTTTCTTTTTGCCAGAAGTTTTGTTTTTATAAAAGTAAAGAGAAGTTTTTGACAATACTCGTTACCGCAATTGAAGAAAGGTAAGAAAAGAATGATAAGAAATATATAATTTAAAAACTAAATTTTTATGAAACTCTTCCGTACCTATTTTGTAAGAATAGCGGATTCAAAGTTTACAGCTAGAACTGAAGTCGTTGTAGCCCATTTTTATTCTCCTTTCTAGTCAAAAAGAGAGAGTCAACATACTTCAAGTTTTATTAGTAGACCGATATCGGGGCTATCTTTTCTTATAAAACTCAGTCGGAAAAGCGATAAAAACCGTCAAAAGTACATGCTTTTTCCGATATGTTATTAAATTAAACATTTCAATTAACAATTTCAGCTTCAAGAACTGTTATCCGTTTTGAAGAACAGTGACTGCGGTCATTTTTTTCATAACTCGAGAACAAAAGCAAATCCATCTGGTTTGCACTATTTTGAGGAAAGTTTCAAATCCAAACCATCTGAACTCTTCATTTTTCATCCTTTACGCATAGCATCCGTTTTTCTAGAACCTCTATGATCGATTTTCGATGACTTAGATTATCAGTCATGTCAGCGAATCTTGTGACAGCGTTTGTTTTTCGATAAGCATCCAGCTCAAGCGTCAAAAAAAAATCTAGTATCGCCGATTCATCTAGATTACTAGATTTTTACTCGATTGCAACTACTGTGTAACGACAATAGAAATCGAGTAATCGGGCGATTACTAGATTTTTTCTAGTCGCAACTATCGATTTATCGCCCGATAATCGATCGATTTAGTTATTACTAGATGCACCTGCAGACGCATCTAGTTAAAAGTCCCTTTTCCAACTAGTAATCTAGATGGCAACTAGTCGTGTATCGCCCG